TAGAGTGCTATTGTTTTTCAAATAAAGAACAAATGGTAGTCTAATCACTTTTAATGCCTCTCAATTTCCTCAATTGCTTAATATTTAGATATATATTATATCTCTGGGTTCTACCTGGGATCTGATCTACAGATCAAATTGGTTTTGTGCCATGAGTGGGTCTCTTGTGGACACAGAAAGTTCACTCCAGACCTTGGATTCTTACAGTGGAGTGAATGGCGTGTGTCATCCATTGCCTCCTCTAGCCCTGAAAGATCCTGTCTATATATTTATCTAATGGCACTTCTCTGTAGTATAAATTTCCTATAGCTTTTTCCTTTTAAAAAAAAAAAAATCTTAAATAAATTTTAGGATGACTCAGTTGTGTATGTGTGCTCTGTTTAAGTGAAAGAGGGTTTTTTACAGATGTTCTTTACCAACTTCTGAATTCATATGATCCTACCTGCAATTTCTATCAGATTTCAGTCATCATCTGCATCCCACTCTGTCCTGCTTATCTTATATATATATATACTTAAATTTACTTCTTAGCCTATTTTCATCCCTATTGTGTCAATCTTCATATCCTGTGCTGGTGACAACATAATTTCTATGACCTCTGGGCCTTTGGATTGGTGGCTTATTTGAATGAAGATCAGTTTGTTTTACTTTTTGCAGCTCCCTTACTGACCATGCCCTGGAAATGGTGGAGACTTGGCTATTGACCAATATTTCCTGAAATCAATTTACATTGGTAACTAGGCCCCTTTTTGGATGCTGAGAGCTTCATATGTGAGAGTCATTTGAGAATGTCCTCTAATGTAGCTAATCTATGATGAAGCTAGCCATTCTTGGGGAACTTATAAAATAACATCATTTTTATGATATTGCCTTTCATCAAAGTAATAACTTTGCTCTACTCACTCTCTTCTCTGTTTTACAACTCTAAAGACTGATCCTAACCAAAGTACAAAACACTCTTCTTCAACGCTCTTCTAGTCAACCACGCCCCAGTTGCTCCTAGCTCATTATGTTCAGATTAGGTCCTTCAATATTTTTTTCTTAAACTCTATGCTCAAGTATCTTCTTCCACATAAAAAAACAATGCCAGCGACTTTATTTGGCAAGCTATGTTTATTCTACAAGCCTCAATTTAAAGTCTCCCTGCTCCAAAACCCCTTCCTTTGTTCACCCCACTGGAATCAATCTGACCATATTGAGTTATGTGTATACATCTCCTTCTGATACTAGATTATAAATTCCTCTGAGATGAGGAGTTTCATTTGTCTTAACTTTACATACTTTAGAGTTGTGAATACAATTATTTATATATTGTAGCTTTTTGTTTAATAAAAGTGAGTAATTCATACATGCACAACTTGTTTCTTAGTTCCCCTGAAAACTTCTTAGGGAAAAGATCAAGTCGTTAATATAATGTATTCTGCAAAGCACCTTACAAAAAGTCTTGTATAAGTCACAGTTCAGTGCGATTTCATATACCATAAAACCTAAGACTGCTTATCTTGGAATGAGGTAAAAATTACTTTTATTGAGATCCCAGATACACCAATTTGGCCACTGATTAGATGTGTAACTTTTGACGCTTTTGACACACCAATCTGAGCTCTAGTTTTCTCATTAAAGAAGAGTTACGATTGCCATGTTATTATGTGATTTATCAGAGTGTTGGATAAACTAATTTATGAAAAGCTTTTCAACCAGAGCTTAACCCATGCAAATAACTTATACGTGGAAATTAATCCTATTATTTTCCTATGTGCACTTCCTCTCTAACATCTTCAGAAGATGTTCTTCATTATTTTATACACAGTGCACTTCAGAGATGCCCTGCTCCGTGTGTCATTCTCAGTCCCCAGTGCAATTTCTTGATTATTGCGCATCACTCTCTCATAAAACCCTTCCCTTATTTGACGCTCATAGTGTTGTGCTGTGGCTTCCTCAGTTGTTTCTTGTCCTAAGTCACCTATTAAAATCTTAGTGCTGTTGCCTCATTTCAGATGTTGGCAGCTGGCTAGCAGACCAGTTGAAATCGATTTAGACTAAAACACTACTGTTCACAGTGAAAGACTATAGGCTGTCCCTGAACAGAGAACAGAAAAAAATAGACTCTCATGTCAGCCAGTGAGGGGCACATGTGTGTAGATTCACTATACTTATCTCTATAATTTGTCATGCTACTATTTGCTATTTCATTTTTTAATTAGAAAGTTTTGGTTCTCTACAATTTACTTCTTGAAGCACATGAAAATACTTGGTAGATTGTCCACATTAGCCATCACTTTTATTGTTTCTGGATACCTAGGATTTCATATCAGTAGGGATTCTGAGTCTTTTCAAATCTCTTGTCCTCTTGGAAATCCCACTAAAAAATATTTGGTAAATAGGCATCCAACATTTGCTCAAATTCCACCAACAACAAAGAAGTAGCATCTTGCACCTGGGAGAGAAAAAACCTCTGCTTCTGTTCAGGATTTTTATAAAGTTCCTCTCGGGAGAAGATACGACTTTGGGTGGTGGGCACACAGCAATATACACCCGAAACTTATATGTTTATATTAACCATTGTTACCCCAATAAATCTAAGTAAAAAAATACAACCATGCCTAAAGATAAAGAATAAAAAGTTCCTCTCACTTTGCAGTTTTGTCCCAAGGCCCATGTGGAAGCACTTTATGGTGAATTAAAATTCCAGTATCAGCTTTAATAATTTTAGCCACGCTTCATTTAAGAGCATGCAGACTTGATAGCACTAAAGTTTTTATGATCACTTCATCATTATAAAATGTCTCTATCCCGAGTCATGCTTCCCGCCTTCACGTTTGCATTCGGAGTAGTATAAATACCTGATATTTCCCTGGTTAGTCTTTCCATCATATATTTTTTTCCTATTTGTTTTCAGCCGTCCTAGGTGCTTATATTTAAAGCGTACCTTCTGTAAGCAGCATGAACATATTCCATCTGCTAGCCTTTGTCTTTTACTTGGAACACTTGGCCTATTTACATAATGCAGCCGCTGATTGCCTTATAGCTACCATCTTATTATTTGTATTATTTTATTTTATTTTTTCCGCCATCATGGATTCCTCTATGCCCTCTTCCACACCCGCCTATTATTTGTATTTTAACTCACCTACTTTACATTCCCTCCCTCTGGCTTCCTGCCTTATTTAGGATTTATCCAATTTTTATGCCAACTTTTTTTACTATTATTTTGGTGATGACCGTAGAATAAACACTTGGAACCTTGACGCATTGCAGTCTAACTAAATGTGCGCACGTCTTAGAGACTTTGTGATTATTTTATTATGGATTCCTGGAACGTTTTCTCGGCGGGGCGTTCCTGCGGCGTCGGGAGGGCGCGGTGTCGCCGGTCCGCGGGCGCCCGCG